CTCCCAGATTTAGGTCAGCAGTTAGATTGAGGTCAAATGACATTTTATCATCAGTTTGGCTTGTAAGGAATTAAAAACCCAACAAAAGCTTTGTCTTTGGAAAGATTTTTGCTGTGATCATTGTGCCTTTTATTTTTTTGTGAAGACAAATATATTTCTTTGCTCTTTCTTGATAAAGTGTAAAAAGCTGAAAACTCAAATTACACGGTGGGAGAAATAAATCTCAGAAGCATTTCAAGTTTTACAACACCCAGCTTAAAAAAGTCATCTGGGCTTTGAGTACAAGCAAACATCTCCTCCATATGCTGTGGGATCCACTTCAGGCCAGTCTGACTGCCCCCCTCCCAATCTGTTTGGAATGTGTCAAAGGGTTTTCATCTCAGGCATCTGAACTGTTGGCCATCTGTTGGCCCCGTAGAGTTTGCTTTGATGGCATCACATTCTGCTGTTGTTAGTTCAAAAAACAAAAGGAACTTGCTGCAAATATATGTTTTGTTCTTTATTTTTCTGGAATAATATGTTTAGTGATTACTAAAGCAAAGGTGAGTTAAAGACCAAATGTTCTTTAAAGGAATGCATGTTTTTCACCAGTTTTTAACACAACATATAAAGAAAGATCAAAACACAAATCACTACGTGAAAACTGGTCAGTTAAAGTATTTAAAGTCWTAACTATTTTTGCTCAAATCTTAAAATAATGTTACATGGAAACACACAATATTTCAAGATCTTGCAAAATGTGCTAAAACTCCAAATACGTGTTGATACTGTTATTCCATAAGATWAAATTTTAGCTCAAAAAATGTAAAACTGACAGAGTTCTAACTATATTTCCTGTTTACTTGGCTATATTAGCTGTGGCAGCCATCTTTAATTGAGTCGGCTCCAAAAGTTAGGAAGATGGACATGTACCTCCAATAATTAATTTCTTTAAGTGACATTAAAATCTGTTCTAGAGTTAATATGRTGTATAAGAAACAGGGTTGTCTCCAATCAGTTACGCTTCAAATTTGTAGAAAGGTCTCAACTCTCAGCTACTACCAGGGGAGTTTTGGCTCAGTATCTATAAAGTTGAGTTATAGAGAGTTTTCAGAAGATTTGCTGTGGTGGCCATCTTGAACCAGGTTGGCTTCAAACCTGTAGTTGTGAGTATTTTTCTGAGTTTGGTTCAAACATGTCCTTGCTCATGCAATATTTTTGCTAACAGACGATCAAGATTGTGGTCAGTTACACGATTGCCAACTTTGATGGTGGCATGCAACAAATTTGTACAAAATAAAAATAAAAAGTAGACCAATGCCTAGCTTTACATTTTTTATTTATTTCAAAGCCAATATGTGTTCACCTCACCTTCCCCTCTTTAATCTTGTTGCCGATGATCTGCTTCCTCTGCTGAATGATGTCAATCAGGACATCACACTCCTCCATGAGCTTCCCCTCCTGGTGGGATGCATTCACCTGAGAACCAGTTCAGATAGCATCATGATCTGTTATTCAYCAACGTGATGAACAAGGTTTCCTGCCAGAGTTTTAAACTAAAATCATCTTATGTTGAGGAATCTYGGCATTGAACCAATTTTGATTAAACAAGGGAAACATCATCTCATGCAACATCATGAGCTGTGTAACTCAGAGTATACCAAGTGTGTGTAAATGACAGCTACCACCATGTCAAGTTTTAGCTCAATGTCCATAAAATGCACTGAAGTATAACCATATGGTGGCTATTGTTAATTAGCTGTTGTGACCATGCRGTATTGGATCGGTTTCAAAAGTAATCAGTTGAAGATGGACATCCAGTAAGTACTTTCTGTAATTTTTTGTAAAAAAAAAACTGTTCATTGGTTTGGGAGACATTTGAGGGAAAAAACACACACACAAAGCAAAAAGATAATGTCCTTTGAATTATAATGAATACAACCTATTTGCTTAGTTGGAGGTGAAATGTGAAGTTGATTACTTTCAGKGTGGTTCTGTCATGAGTTTCCTCTGAATAAAAGCAGCAGTCACCTCAGTCCTCCAGAGTCTTTGGTTCGCTTTACAGTTAAAAGCTCTGATCAGGCTATAAAAGTAGTTCAAGCCCAACTATACGACTGCAGGTCCAACCATAATGTGCAGTTTCTGATTGTAGCCATTTCCTGGCAGCTCTTTCAGCACCTTGTAAACTTTTCTTGTAGCAACAAGCGACATCTTGGGGAGCATTAAAAAAAAGGAAGTCTGCTGCGGTTCTTTCAGAGCCAGGAAAGCTTACACACTTAATGCAAACTCAAACTTTCCTGCACAAACACACACACCTTCTGCATGTCCACAGGTGTTTYGAAAATGACATCATGAGAAGTCATTAGCTTTTCTTTAACAACACAAAACAAGCCTGTGAAGGGCTCCCTTAAAAAAGTTCCTTCTGAACAACGTTTATGTAATTTTCTGAGACCACGTTTTCAGAAGAAACAATTTGCCACCTGGATTACGTCTCATTGGTAATGTGAGACCTGCTGAGCTGAATGCCTTTGTTCAGTTGTACAGCAGTGCCTTTACAWATAAATTCATCTTTGCTAATTGGTTTGTTTGACCCCATTTGACATCGACATGTAGCAGTTCACTATGTGAATWGCATGCATTTATATTTGGGATCTAATTTGTGTTCAAATGTTAAAGCAACAATTGTCAGGTCTTGTTATATAAACCAAAACTAAAATGTATGGGTTTTTTTCTGCCCTCATGTCACATTACACAGTAACGACAAAGACAGTGTTATGTCACAACCAAATTAATCATGTAGCGTGTTTGGATGTGACACATCTGACTGTGAACAGATCCCTTCAGATCAACTCATAGTATCTGGAAAGCAACATTAGGAGATACATTTAACCTTAGATTTGCACAAGATGAAGCACAATTTATCGAGCCCCAAAAATTACTATAAAATGTTAAAAACTGAATCATGAATATTGTATCTTACAATCTATTTACTGCTACTTCATAAATTTCCAGCTTACTACAGGACGTTTGTTAGGTTTTATGCAGTTTTCAGTACACATGTTTCTTATTGACAGAATATTAAAATCTGCAACAGTAGCAATAATAAGCGGACTAAAGGCCTTGTCCAAACAAAACTTTTTTTTTTTTTTCACAAAACCATCCGATTTGTTTCCAAAAAATATCCTTGTAAATAAGGGTCATGTATTGTGCAGACACAGACTGGCTTTACTAACGACACAAAAATGCAGCCATTAAATATCATTTATGCTGACAAACTGTTACATGTAATGATTTTACATGTGCACAATATCCTCATCTCATTCTGCTCTCTGATGTCCTGTTTTCCAACATGCACAAAGCAAAAGAAAAGCTTCAAGTGTGGTTTGGCATTAAATTCAAACAACAAACGTGGTGCTGGCTAAAGAAGCATGCGTCTGCAATGTCCTGCAGGAGTAAGAGTCTGTGGGCACAGCTGAGATGGTGAGTCATACAAACCGGATGCGAGTTTGTTTTTTCTRGCGTGTCTTCCCAGTCAGTTTGGGATAATCTGATGTGAAATATTCAGAAAGCTATTCTACGGCACGCAAGCAATTATTCCTGTATCCTCATTCCTCACGTCATTCATCAAATGCAGCTTGTGTGTTTGTGTGTGTGTATAGTGGACGGGTTTTTCCTACAACATGGGAAAACTTTTCCCCAAAAAAAGCAGCCTCGTGGGGACTGAAGTGAATTGGTCCCCACGGGTCCAAATGCAAATTACGGGTGTGGGGTTAGGTTTAGGACCAAGGTTTTGGTTAGTTTTAGGTAGGTACCTGTGAGATTAAGTGTAGGGTAAAGAATGACACCACTGTTTTAAAATGTTACTGTGTGTTTGGTATTCTTTGTGTGTGTGTGTGTGTGTGTGTGTGTGTG